TGTAAATCCAAATCTAGTATTAACTTCCTAATCAGTGAATTGCACCAGGAAAATGAACTCTCAATCATTTCAACATGACATAAAGTATGTCTCAAGAAAACCAAAGCATTGGTCATGAGGAGACAATGAGAAAGAGTGGACAGATAAACACCATGGCCTTGATGATTTAAAAGCTGCATGAATGTGAGAAGTCTGTATCTGATTATTTCAAAGAAATCCATTCCTCTCATCTTCTCTCTCCTTTGCTCGGCCCATAGCAAGGGAGAAAATTCGTCCCTGCTGTAAGCCAACAGAAGTCACTCTAATTTCGCTGGTTTTAATGCTTACTGCTGTGCTTTTTGTATTTTTACGAAGAAATAACATAAAGAAAGAGAAGAGAAAAATTAGGGAAAGTTACAATAACAAGTGGGATATCAAGCAAAGATTAAAGCAAGAAACAAAACCTTACAGCTCAGCATGGGGTCAAACACACAGAAAACCAGTATTTTATTGTTAACTCTCCTCTTCCCTCTTTGTGTACACAGGCTCCTGTTAGACTGTCATCAGCTTGCTATCTCACATAGGCCTGACACAGTTTGCATCTTGAAAACTGAAAATTGTGGAAGGATAAAACTTTGCTATTAAATGAGGTGGGTATATTTCACATAGATTACATGAATTCCAAGTAACCTTAATATGTTCACGTAAAATACAGAAGGAGTTGCTTAAGGAGAAAGCAGATACTTCTCTTTGCTGCAGGAAGCTCGCTCCATGCCAGGGAATGCCATGAGACTCCACACTGGAGCTCATGTGGGAGGGACCCTTGCTTTCTGTTCCCACTCTTTGTGAAACAAAGTGATGTCACCTAAGTTTGTCAAGTCTTTACATATGTATCTCTGTATATATATTTACATGTGCTTGTAGGTACAGACATGGATATCTGCCTGTATCTAGGTGATACTTTGAAATTAATAAAGCTATAATCCTGGTGAATCTTCCAAATTTAGGGGCAGTGCCAGAGTAACTTTCAGAATTGTAGCTTCACATAGGCACATCTAAATCTTGTCTACATCTTCTCTGTGTCTTGACCCAAATCTCTGTGCCTTAGTATCCAAGGCTTTTATTCTGTATAGTAATACTGCTTTGGAGTACAGCCTGAGATAAAAGTGAATTTTTCTCTCATTCTCCTGACCTTTTCTGTTTAGGGAAAAATAAAATTAAAAGGTTTACTGGCAATGGAAAATCTTAAACAATGGATAACTGCAGCGTTTCAAGGACTCATTCTGTTGATGACTAGCAATAAATAGTATCTTTTGTCTTCCTATGTGTCTATTTTGAATAAGCCAGCATTCCTGCATACTCTTCCAGCTGCAAAGCATCCTCACTACCACTGCATAAAGCCCACCCCAACCAGCAGAAAGGGCATGCTGTATGCAGACCTGGGGATATCTGCTGCATGGATTGCAGTGTAATAAAGAGGTATCCACATAAACCTGGGATTTAGAAGCAACCAAGAGTGATAACCCTATGTAGCGATGCTTCAAACCTCATGTAATAAAAAAGATAAATTAGCAACACTGCACTTACGGCTTGGGTACTACTGTAACGGCTATTCAAGGTGTTCGCAGCACAGACCTGCTCTGCACAAGCACAGAGCAGCAGTCAAGGTCAGGTGTAAACAGAGGAGTCCACAGCTGGAGACCTGTTACTGACACACCAAACACTTCTGTTTTCTCCCTGGGGTAAAATTCATATTGTCTGGTTACAGCTGTGTTTGTGAGCTCAGCTAAGGGCATCTGCCCAAATAAGTGCATCAAAGCTGAACACAACAAAGCTCCAAATAGGGAAGTTGGTGACAATACATAAATAGTGAAAGTAGCTGCATGCCCAGTGTGCTGGAGAGGTAGATAGGGTTGTATAAATATGGCACTTGTCTTTGAAGATAAGGTGGCCATCTAGTCATCTAATATACTTGGTTAGGATTATTCCGCCTGGCTGAGACATTTTAAAGAACACACTGGTGGATGTCAGCTATGTTTCCCATGTGTACATCAAGAAGGACCCCAATACTGTGCCAAATAATCCTCATAGTAGCTTACATAGACCACAGCAATCTTGGTCATGTCAAAAAACATGGCTAAAAATTCCCTTTAAACAGAGCTGCTCCCTGTCTTTCTTGGGCATATTGTTGAACCTCCAGGTAGGTTCAATAGTTTAACATCAATAGTTCTAACATTTGAATTATATTTAACATTTATTCATACTGCTATTTCATAGAATCACAGAGCTTTTGAGGTTCAAAGGGACCTCTGGAGTTTATCTGGTCCAGCTGCCTGTTCAAGCAGGGTGACCTAGATCTGGTTTCCCAGGAGCATGTCCAGCTGGCTTTTGAAGGATGAAGACTCCCTAGCCTCTCTGGGCAATCTGTGCCAGTGCTCAGTCACCTTCACAGTGAAAAAGTCTCCTTATGTTCAGATGGCACCTCTGTGTTTCATAGTTACTAATATTTTAATTTTAATAACCCCCACAGAAGATTGAAAAAGAAATTTTATAGAGGGGGATAATGTGGCACAAAAAGAAAAAATAATAATTGCTAGTCTGGAGCTACCCAGCAGCCATGGGTCAGTAACAGTTGTGGTGTCCCAATTCCTTTCTCTCACATGGATTCCTTTTCCTTTAGAACTTGCAGTGTCTCTTCCTTTACCTGCCCATTTCATCCACCCTCACCAGGAGCAGGTGCAGGCTATGGCTGCTGCTGGTGAAGCAATAAAGAGAACTTTCAGATAGACCAATCTCCATCCAGCACCGGACTCTCCTCTACAGTGGACAGCAGATGCACAAGGGCACAACCAAGGCCATGCATAGGCTGAACTCCCTCCTAACATGTCCTCTTGATCTCCAGCAAACAGCCATTTAGGAACTTCCTGAGGTGACAGTTTCATCCAAACCCCTGTGTACCAATGGACATGTTTTCCATGAACTCATCTAATCACTTATTGAACCTACTTGTACTTTCAGCCTCTACAAAATCTTTCACAATATACTCATGAACAAGTTTTGCTTGTTTTTAAACTTGCTGTTTGATCATTTTGTTGAGTGCTCTCTACTTCTTGTATTCCAAGAAACATGAGTTATCATTCCCTTTTTAGCATCTCTTTAATAATCATCATTCCTAGGCCTGTAGTGTGTCCAGACCCAGCATCTCCCTTCAAGTTGCAGAACTTAGTCTATTTAGTCTTTCCTCACAGTGCTCTCTTCTGTATGTTTCCTGGTTCTTCTACACCTATTTTGTGGTGCGGCAAGTGGAACTAAGCAGAGCATTCAGTAACCCAGGGACAATGTAGATTAGGACAGAAACGTAATGTTGTGCTCAGTTTTTTTCTCAGCTCCTTTCCTCATGACATCTGACATTACTGGCCTTGATGAGAAGAAAGTACATGAAAGACAAGAGTGCATGGTCAGCTAGGCATCACAGATTTGTTCAGGTTGGAAGGGACCCCAGGAGGCCTCTAGCCCAACCTTCTCAAAGCAGGGTCCAGCTATGGGGTCAGACCAGGTTGCTCAGGTGGTTCTTGAAAATCTCCAAGGATTGAAACTGAACAACCTATCTGGCCAATCTGTTCCACTGCTGGGCTCTCATGGGGAAAAGGTTTCTTCTCACACTCAGTGTGAACATCTCCTGTTTCAACTTACGACATTTTTTTCATCCTCCTATCCACCAGGCACCACTGTGAAGAGCCCAGCTCCATCTCCTTGACATCCTCACTCTAGGCACTAGGGACTGCTGTTAGGTCCCTCTGAAGCCATCTCTTGTGCAGATTGAACAAGTCCAGCTCCCTCAGCCTCTCCTCCTAGGTTATGGACTCCAGCCCTGACCATTTTGGCAACTTTCACTGAACCTGCTCTAATTTATCTGTGTGCTTCAAGTGGAGGTCTGGGGGCAAAACTGGATATCCTTAGCTACATGAGGTCTAATGAGTAGAAAGTCAAGGGGAATAAGCACAGGTCCCAGGACAGGCCCCTGTGGTACCCCACTAGTTAGTGACCTCCAGGAAGAGTACAAACCATCAGCCATTACTGAAGGTTTAGGAAAACTGTAAGCAGAGGTTGGCCAATCTACTTCTGAGACTGATCAAGACTGGTTCATGAAGATCTGGTTATGCTAGTCTTGATCATTATTACCAGTGGAGGAATTGGCCAGAGAAATTTTCACTTTTGGCTTCCCTTATATTCAGTGGAGAGACAGAGCAAAAGCATTACCAAAGTATAACCCATTCTACCCACTCTAATATAGGGTTTTAAGACAGATGGGATAAATCACTGAGGGCTATCTGTCTCCCACTGAGAAAGGAGCTTAAACATCTCATTTAGTATTAAACATCTAACCTGTATGTGGCTTAGGTCAGTGAGATGAGCCATACACTCGCCACCTTTTTATTTTAATTCCCTATCTGTAAAATGACGATGCTAATGCTTCCTTGTTCCTCCTATCTTTTTGAACTGTATGTAACTACTAAGTTAGGCTTAAAGGTGTCTTGCCTGGTGTCTAGAATAACAATATGCTACCACTATTAATGATGAAGGGATGGAAGATGGAGCTCCTAGAGCAAATCAATTTCGACCATCTGCACACAGCCTAAGAAACTCATGTAGAAGAGACATGAAGGGAAAATACAGTGGTGAACTTCCACAATTTCTCATTCTCTCAACCTTTTGAACTGCTGCCAACTTCAAATCTAAACTGGCATATTTCTTATTTTGCTGGTTTTAACAGGGGATAATTATAGCTCATTTTTCCACAGCTTACTGCATAAAATGCTGAGCAGTACTTCTGTCTATTCTTCTTAGCTCTGAGGAACTTTAACTACTTTTGATTCCTGTGTCCCAGATAACCATTATTTTGTAGTTAAAAGTTCATTAAAATGAGGCCAAACATAGATAAAAATGCCAACAAAAACATGTCTGAAAAGACAGATGAATAAAATGGCAGTGCCAATAGAAACAGGTTTTCTCACACGATATTTTTAAACGTATCTAATGAACATTTTATAAACTTTATTTGATAAAATTGACTTTATACAAAGAATTGTCCTAAGGATGGGGAATTTAAAAATGTAAATGACACTCTGGAGCAGCACGCAATGAGGACACTTTCTGCAAATATCCACATGTATTTCTGTCATGACCTAGAGTTCAAATTTCTCTACTGTCTTGCAAACTATGGAAACAAGTTTAAACTATAATCCACAATTAAATGAAAATGGAAAAAGCATGTTTGAGTTGCGCTCCTGTACTTTTACACAATTAGGAACTCAACAGTTCCCTTGGGTCTTCCTTCTTTGGCTGTGAAGGAAAATGGATGATTAGTACTTCCAAATCATTTCTATGCTATTCCACAACATCAATTAGTTCAAAAACAGGAGGTTCCGTCTCCCCTTCTTTTAAACCAAACTCCAATTGAAAAACAGATCATTAGAAAACATACTTTCACATGTTCCTCAAATTTTCCTTTTTTATTTGAAGTTTTCTACATTGAAAGGATCATCCCTTGTCTCAGCTTGTACTTTGCTAATGAGAAGGGTCCTCAGGTTTTTTCTTCTCTATGGATGGATAGGAAACACCCAGTGCTTTTCTTGATAGCAGAAGAACAGGGTAGATGAACAGGGCACCAGAATCTTAGATTAGGGCAGAGATTCATCACTTACAGATAGGGCAAAGTTCAAATAATTTATTACTAGAAAATACCTAAAACAGCAAAGCACACTTTAAAGCACAAATTGCAGCCAGAATTCCTGGACAGATCAAAGCAATAGAATCTATTTTCTGACATTTAAAACTAACTCTACTAAATAATTGTTGGCAAGCTTTGTGTTTTGTAACACTGGCTGAAGAAGCCTAAGAAGCTGGCAGGGTCTGGGCTGGCCAACAGGCAGCAAGGCAGGACAATAACCTAAGCAATCAGGGTAATAAAAGTGTGTCTCTGTGTCAGCAAACACACTTCAGAGGCCAGATGTTTGTGGAAACACAAATTCTGAAATAATCACTCAGAGCACAAAGCAGGGCAGTTCTCTTAAACTCATGGCTCAGCAGCCATCACCTCTGCTAGGGCGCTGGCTGGCAGGAAGAGGATACAGATAACCAGCAATATGATGATCTGTTACAAGGGAAACAATTTTTTACTTGCCAAAGGCAGCAAATATACCCATGAAAATTGTTGTTCACCCATTGATGACAGTTTATGGCACTGTTTGCAATGTATTCCAATGAGAACCTGATGGTCATTCAGAGATACAAAATGAATCTCTTTGTTCATGTTATGCTGATAAAAAGAGACAAACATGAAGTTCTTGTTATAGAATACAAGAAAACCAGGATGTTCCCATTAGTCCATTAGAGGCCTGACACTGTACCACAAATTGTACCACATTGTACCACAAAGACACAGGATATGTAGCTCTTCTTGATACTTCTGTAATGCACATTCCATCCACTGACTACATTTGTATTTGTTGTATAGGAACACGTTTTGGTGAGAAAAATATTGGGACTTACATTGATTGGTTCCTTGTTTATGTTAAGACAATTTTATGCAATATTAGAACCAAGCAGTGTATGATGCAAATCTTTAAGGAAATGAAAAATCACTCACATGGCAGTTATTTATTATGGAGATGTTCAAAAACATGCAACTTCCACTAAAAGCGCCAGGAGTTGAGTTCTTAAGTTCCCTGTACCTTCAAAGCTTTTTCTCTTCTAATGTCATGGAAATTTAAATTGTTTCTACATTTTCCTCTTAACTGCTGCAGAACTTGAGGAATAATGATCCAACCCCAAACTGCTGTGCTCACATGAACCTAAACAGAAACAGAAAATAAGCCACTGAATAGGAAATGTCAAACAGAAGAAAAACAAATTCATACAAGTACATAAAACAGAAAAAATGAGGCCAGAAATTGTTTCTGGCTATGTGGTTACTTTGGTAAGCTCAACAAAGTGCCTTTCCAGACTGGTTTTGAGCCAATTTAATGCTTTTCTCTTACTAAATAACTTCAATGATTTGTAGTCCTGTTTGTATGCTATTTCCTCCTATTTTAATCTTCACAGGATCAGTGAATGTTAGTTCAGGGATACTATGTCTCTGAAGCACAAGAGGCTTAGTCAACCTGTTCTGCATAAACATCTAATACACAGATCAATTGATTTACCAAAGGCAGTACAGTATCTTACGTGCCCATTCCTTCCTGTCCTGAGATAGCAAAGATTAGAGACACAAGATGAATTTATTATGCTTTCCCTATGCTTGAACGATCATCATCAAAATGCAGTTCTGCTAAGTCCATAGACTAAGAACCAAGGATATTTTGACTCCCTGTTTTCTCTGTCTCATTTATGAAGAACAGTCAGGCAGATGTGTAACATGGGACTGAATTAAGAGGGATGGTTCCAAATTTGGTAAAGTGAGTCAGTCCTGTTCCTTTTTTAGGGCCCAAAATATAAAGAAACGGGATATGTAGCTCTTGATACTTCTGTAAGGCACCTTCCATCCAAAAGAATCTTGGGGACAGGTGAATGCTTTCACACACTGCTGAGAGCCTGAAGCTCCGCAGGTGGAGTTCTGGGGTCGTGATGTGAGATAGCCAAAAGGACTAACACAGGTAGCTGGAGCTGTAGGAAGCAGTAGCAGCAGCAGGCTGCTCTTAAATAGATCAGGCTAGCCAAGTACCAAAGCTCTACCTTTGATTAAAAAAAAGGCCTATGACATCTTAAACAGCCACAGTTTGTTGGGGTGATGGCCAAGACAGCGTTTCCAGTGTCATTTGGAAACCCAATGCACTTCATGTACCAATTAAAGAACATCCTTTGGGCTTCAGTGTTCCAAACTGTGTAGTCCTGCTAATCTCCCAGCTCCAATTGGTTGGACAAACTGCACCAGCATCACATCCAATTTGAACCCACCTTTCAAAACATGTCTCTTCATCCTCCTTGTGCCTGGTGTCCCTGATCACCACCCTGACCAACAAATTTGATCACTCACAGGTAAGTCAGACTGAGCAAAGGACTGGCCTCCACCTGACAATTTTAAAAGCTCTTGTTCAAGGAAGAATACACATCAACATTGATTTGAGCTTCTCTGCAGTAGCTGAAAGAAGATCTTCTGTCTTCCCATGATGTCTCTTCCAAAGCAGAGGAACAAAAAATGCAGACCATGAATGTGGCTGAAGCAGGCACATCTGTATCTCTGCCTGAATGCTACACTGAGCCCCTATTTTTACCCACTGTTACAGCTAAGATGGCTGATTTACAAGGTCACGTATTTTGCTGAAGGCCATATCATGAGTCATTTGATTAAAACTGCCCTTCCTGGCTCTCAGTCCTTTGCTCTACTCATTAGTACACACAATGTAATAAAACGTTGGAATATCCCCAGAAGGCAGTCTTGCTTAGACCACTTCCTCTGTAGTTCACTACCACAGACCTCAATTCTTGTCTTGGGCAGCTTTCCAGCTGAACTACATGATGCAAAATAACATTTTAAGTTAAATTTCAAGTGGGATAATGAGCAGCTACAAAACTTCAACATTGTTCTAAATTTAAACAAAACAGCAAGAGGAATTTTAGAGAGTATTCAGGAGAGTAAACAGAATAGAGGCTAAGCAAATACACAGCAGACACTGTTTACCCTTCCTATTATCCATCTTGACAAGCGTTCTTTGATGCATTTATGAACTTATGCGCCCCCCCCCCCCTTTTTTTCAATTTTTAGCAAAACCCCTTTACCCAACACTCTAACCCAGGATAATTGAAAACTGAAAAGTTGGTAAAATTAACCAGCTGCGCTGACCGATGAGAAATATTGATGACATTAGATACTTCATTAAAGTTGCATTAAAACTCTTCTATTTAATAACACAGTTTAAGGAAGGGTTCATTTTATAAACTCACAGAGTGTTGGAACGAAAGATGTGATAGTTCCCATGTAACCTCATAAATTCTCTTGCTAGTCAGTTTCAAGTCTATGAGCTCTAATAAAATTCTCATGAGAACACAGTATCCATCCATAAAAAACTCCTGAACCCCCCATGGGAATTGGCTGGTTTGGAAGGGTTCAGGGGTTCAAGCCTGTGGTTTATTTATTAAAATTTTCTCAGTAAATATATCATGGTATAACAGATAACAACCACACTGTTCTGCGCTATTAACATCCGTCTTCCATAAAAATACGTGAACAGTAAGCTTCAAAAATAGGAAGGAAGAAGACCCTTAAGTTACATTTAAATGTGGGCGCACTGAACCTTTTCTCAAAAAGAGGCTGAAATCATAAACAGCAGTGAGAACGTGATTCCTCATTTTTCCCCTCACAAAAACACTGTCATCGGAAGCAGCTCTATGCACAGCTATAAAAAAGGAATTTGGATCACCTGAGCTTTTACTAGAGTGGGTTGAAGTCAGACACCTACAGTGCCAAAACACAATCTTGACTTAGAAATAAAACAGCTGTAGCATTAGAAGTATAAATCTGATCAGGAACACCATGTTCATTCTGGAAATACAAGAATTTTGTAAAGTCTGTGACTGGAGGCTCTGAACCAATTTTACCTTCTCCCTCTATCAAGTCTTCAAACCAACCCTAAACCAGTACAAAGTCCTTTCCTTGGAGCCAGTGAAGAGCTGTAGGAATGTGACAGACAGAAGTAGCTTTTGTGATGCAATACTGTACCCAAGAACTGCTCAGATACTCTCATGATAAGTTAGATAGCTGGTTGGTGACAGACTAATTATTTTAACACAGGATCCACAGAGTCATTTCCACCCTAAAAGGCTCCTCAGGGAGAAAAAGTATTGCTAAAATCCAGATACATCTTTTTTTTTTTCTCTTGGAAAGCAAAACCAGTTGGTTTAAATCCACCACTCTGGTGGTGTCTTGGAGAACACTTCCACTCTGAGGAAAAGTATGTCTTTCATAGATGTTCTATGGAAGGTCATTTCAGGCCTTTAGAGGCAGGCTCTTGGGGTGGCAGGAACTGGGAGGTGATGAAGTTACCTTCCTCCCTTCACTAGAGCCAGCTGCCAGCTTCCAGCTCTGAAAATGACCAGGCTCAATGTCACAGTTCTCCTGGTCCAAAAGATACTGCTTCATGCAGGAATGAAGACTATCGTAGCCCCAGCACACCGCAGGATTCATGACTGTCAAAACCAACATTACTCTAAGGTGCCAGTGTTGAGCATGCCATAGACATCCTCCTTTTCTCTACTCAGCAACTCCCATATTCTCTGCTCTTTTCCCAGTACTTCTGTATTGAGAGTAAATGGCAGGGGAGAATGCTCTGTAGAAAGGACAGAATACCCTTGCATATTCCCTGTCTTGCCTCCCTGGGACACAAATGCACAGCTTTCATATTCTGCTTCTCTGTGCTCCATACTGCACCCCATACACATCTCCCCATTTCCCAAAGCTGATGCTGTGTTTGCCAATAAAGAACATAAAGCTGGGCAACAAAGGAGCCATTAGTCTCACCTCTCGGTAGCCTGCATGCACGCAGATCCTCTTCAGAAAAATGGACTTTGTTCTGATTTCTGCCACCGATCCACTGAAATGTAAATGAGTTTTACTTTTCATTCTCAAAGAGCTCCAAGCAACTTCACAGGCTTCCTTCACTTACCATAAGACCACCTTGAATACATTCAGAAAATCTGCTTAGCTAGGACACTTGAAGTTCTGGCTTTGTATTTCTAAGCAGTGTGCTTCATGTTCCTCCTGGGACGGCATTTTTATTAAGAATTATCTGTATCGTTCCTTTCTCTCCACATGAGCTCGGCACATGTACAGTATTGGGATGCCTGGATTAGAAACATAATTAACGAAAGTATTCAAACAACCTTTTTTTTCATTTCCTGGAAGAAGTCAGGCTTACTCTGTGTGTGTGTGTGCTCAGGCACATGACAAAGCTGGTTTCCTTCACACTGACACAATAAATGTTTAAATAAAACTTTGTAAAATTCAACTGTTCAACATGTAAAGTAAAAACCATTAACAACCTTTCTTAATTTCTCAGTGGAATCAAGAGTGTGATCCTAGAAATTGTGTACACTATTATTTAAGGTTAACCAGATATACCTGTGCACATACAGGAAGTCTGCAGGCACAGTACCTTTACACATTTGTACGTCTTTTCTCTGGAATACAGCTGGCATTTGCCAAATGATTTACACCATACGGCAAACAGAAAGCAAGGGAATACAGCATTCATAGACTTTTGTGAAGTAGAAACTAGATCTGAATTCCTTTTTAGCCCACTCAAAATCCTAAGGCTTTAGGAAAAGCTTCTGCTCACATTTTAGCTCCAGCAATAACAGTGACCTGTAATTTACACAGAATCATAGAATCATAGAATAGTTAGGGTTGGAAGGGACATTAAGATCATCAAGTTCCAACCCCCCTGACTGGGCAGGGACACCTCCCACTAAACCATGCCACCCAAGGCTCTGTCCAACCTGGCCTTGAACACCACCAGGGATGAAGCATTCACAGCATCCCTGGGCAACCTATTCCAGTGCCTCACCACCCTAACAGGAAAGAATTTCTTCCTTATACCTAGTCTAAACTTCCTCTGTTGAAGTTTTAACTCATTACCCCTTGTCCTATCACTACAGTCCCTAATGAAGAGTCCCTCTCCAGCATCCCTATAGGCCCCCTTCAGGTACTGGAAGGCTGCTATGAGGTCTCCACTCAGCCTTCTCTTCTCCAGGATGAACAGCCCCAACTTCCTCAGCCTGTCTTCATATGGGAGGTGCTCCAGTCCCCTGATCAACCTCGTGGCCCTCCTCTGGACTTGTTCCTACAGTTCCATGTCCTTTTTATGTTGAGGACACCAGAACTGCACACAGTACTCCAAGTGAGGTCTCACAAGAGCAGAGTAGAGGGGCAGGATCACCTCCTTCGACCTGCTGGTCACGCTCCTTTTGATGCAGCCCAGGATACGGTTGGCTTTCTGGGCTGCGAGCGCACACTGAAGCCGGCTCATGTTCATTTTCTCATCAACCAACACCCCCAAGTCCTTCTCCACAGGGCTGCTCTGAATCTCTTCTTTGCCCAACCTGTAGCTGTGCCTGGGATTGCTCCGACCCAGATGCAGGACCTTGTACTTGGCATGGTTTAACTTCATAAGGTTGGCATCAGCCCACCTCACAAGCATGTCAAGGTCCCTCTGGATGGCATTCCTTCCCTCCAGCGTATCAACCAAACCACACAGCTTGGCGTTATCCACAAACTTGCTGAGGGCGCACTCAATCCCACTGTCCATGTCAGCAACAAAGATATTGAGCAAGACCTGTCCCAACAGCGATCCCTGAGGGACACCACTCATTACTGGTCTCCAGCTGGACACTGAGCCATTGACCACAACTCTTTGTGTGCGGCCATCCAGCCAGTTATTTATCCACCAAGTGGTCCATCCATCAAATTGATGTCTCTCCACTTTAGAGACAAGGATGTCTTGTGGGACAGTGTCGAACGCTTTACACAAGTCCAGGTAGATGACATCAACTGTTCTACCCCTGTCCATCAGTTCCATAGCCCCATCATAGAAGGCCACCAAATTGGTCAGGCAGGATTTCCCCTTAGTGAAGCCATGCTGGCTGTCACCAAGCACCTTGTTTTTCATGTGCCTTAGCATGCCTTCCAGGAGAATCTGCTCCAAGATTTTGCCAGGCACAGAGGTGAGACTGACTGGTCTGTAATTCCCTGGGTCATCTGTTTTCCCCCTTAAAAAATCTCAAATTTACAAAGATTGACGGGGTCATTTCAGCTAACAGTGAACTGCAGAGATGCGGGGAAACAAGTCTGTGAGATAAAGAGATAGGCCACAGAACTGAAAGATGAAAGACAAGAATACTGTATTCTCTTGAAAAATGCAGAGGGTAATAGGTAGACACACTATAAATTATAACACTGGATTATCCTTCAGCTTGTAAAATATGTCAGGAGACCTTCAATACTTATAGATGGTCAGTGCCTCCATTTTCAGCTACTTCTGACAGATGGCTCTTCCCTACGGCCCAGCAATGATATGCTGTCCTGGGTTTAGCAGTAGCAGTCAATTTTTCTCCTTAGTAGCTGGTGCAGCACTGTGGTTTTGACTTTTGGCCTGGGAATAGAGCTGATAACACCGATGTTTTTAGTTGTTGCTAAGTCATGTTTACTCTGACCAAGGACTTTGGGAGTCTCATGCTCTGCCAGGGAGGAGGAGAGGCCAGGAGGAAGCAGAGACAGGACACCTGACCCAAGCTAGCCAAAGAGGAATTCCATACCACAGCACGTCATGCCCAGGGAGGTGACTGGAAGTTACCCGGAAGGGCACGGGCTCTCTCTGGGGTCGGGCTCGTTTTGGCAGGTGGTATCGTATTCCCTTCCCTTGTTATTTTCTCTTATCATTATTATTACTGGTGGTAGCAGCAGTGGTTTGTGCTATACCTTAGTTACTGGACTGTTCTTATCTCAACCAGTGGGAGTTACATTCTTTCGATTCTCCTCCCCATCCCACCGGGAACAGGGAGGTGGAGAGGGGAAGGAAAGAAAGAGGGAGGAAGCGGGGGGAGGAGTGAGTGAACAAGCTACATGGCTGGGTTTAAACCACGACATATGCCAAGAACAACGATTAGAGACTGACTCAGAGCAAGAGTGGTGTGATACTTTGCAGCTGTATTTATAGTCAGGCACAGAGTTTTCCTCGCATACCCACCTCCATTTCAAAAACACCATGTGAAGACATACTGAAATAATAGCAGTCACGTAGTTCTATGTCCCCACCCTGACTTACCACCATAAATCATGCTGACTTGACAGAAAAGGCTACTCATCGGTTACATAAGAACCCCAGAACTTATCCATATCCTTTCTAGAAGCTAATAGTTCTACATACATTTAATGCATTAAATTATCCATGCAAATCTCTTCCATTCCCAAAAGTTGAGGACTCTGTTACAGGTCAAATCATCAGTTAAACTATTGGCCAGCAATCACAAAACCCAAGCCAACTGCTGACAAACCAAATCCATAGCTGGCATTTATATTTATCGTGTAACACGTGGCATTTGTTAGCTCTTTACCACATTTTATACAATCTAGTTATTTCCTGACTCCAGTTCCAGTTTCAATCACAGCTCTTCATTTTATGTAAAACATCCAAAAATAAAATGATTCAAATGTCTTTATCACCTTGGAAAATGTAAACTGTGGGAGTGTGAAATATAAAGTCTTCACCATCCAGTAAAGCACCAGGACTAGATGGCCCTTCTGCAGAGTTTTTCCAACAATTCAATTTACTGCTTCCATCCCATTTATGATCCCTTTATTGAGAATCATAATAGGTGTTCAAAAGACATTTAGTAAAGCAACTGTTAATTTTTTCTATTTTGGATCCTGAAAGAGTCTGGAAGTAGGTTTGCTTGCCCACTTATCATTACCTTCAACTGTGGGATGCATCCAGAACACCACAGCTCTCAGGTTTGAGCAGTGTCAGCCACCTGGCTGCAGGCAGCTGCCTGGCCCTGCTCCTTACTCTCTCCTCCTGTGGCCTACATGCCTCCCAGGTATGGCTCTCCCTTACTTTGGACCTGGTGGGGACACACAGCCCACCCCTCAGACAAACAGCATAGGTAATGTCACCCATGAAGATACAGATGTGTCCAAAGTGCGTATGTGTGTGTATCCATGGATCAAATAACACCAAACTGCCTGATGAGCATTTAATCACATTACAGAAGATAACCATCAGCCAGATTAAACTGTTACTGGGGAATTACAAAGAGATTTGACACAAAGCACAGGGCAGACTGTAAAGAAATGTAAAACATACATGAAAACTCTTTACAGGAGAGAGAGACCTTGAAGGAGAAACAGCTTTCTCTAGGGGCGCATGTGTTTCATCCAACAACTTGCAGGGAGTTCCATAAAGGGGTCTGCACATGCAGGTGTCTGCATAAAGGTAGAGGATCCAAATCTCCTGCAGAAGGAGTGTGTAAAGAGGGAGACACGCAATGGGAAGGGGAGGTGTTTTTGTAACCCACAGTACCCACGAGTGAGGGGTTGCATACAACTCTGTGCATGTATATGTGTTTCTGCGCATGTGTATGTGTACAATAAGGCAGCTTTGGGCTTAGTTACAGGACTCTGTTTAGGATTTTTTACTATGATTTGCCTATTGTATTACTGATCTTGTATGCGTAGTTCACTGATTGCTGATTCATTACATACTGTCAATAAAGCAATAAGCTTATTTCATCCATATTTATTTTAAACTACGTGAACTCAGCAGTTTTTCCCTGCGATGTCTGCTGAAGCAATCAGAGATGTCTGTAGCACAAGAATTTTTCATTTTCTTCCAGAGCACCAACATTGAATAAATTCATGTAAAGAATAAATGCATGGTTAGTGAATCACATCTAAATACAGGTGAAATCCCTTAAGTGCATGCAATATTTGTCTGAAAATAATTATTTTGAAGACATTACACATATGGTTATTTCAGACCTATTTCCCAAGAGTTTATATGCAGATGTTACATGGTTAGCATTTGTAATTAAACATGCTGTTATACTTTAGTTTGGGGGTCAGCACTTCCTGTTTGCACCATATTTTCCCTTTGAGTTGTCTGTCAAAAGAAGAAACGGGGCTGGATTTGGATCTCAGTTACCACAATCCAACAGAGAAGAGCCTTAGATAAGCCCCACTAAAGAAACAAAACTATAACTGTACAAGTGGTTCTTGCATGTTGTAGAGTTTAACTAATCCTACAGGTTTTGGGGTTGGGTTTGGGGGTTTGGGGTTTCTTTTGTTTTCTTTTGTTGTTTTTTTTTTTGGGGGGGGGTGTTTTTTAGTGGGCTTGGGTTTTTTGT